AGGGCAAGAGCAGTCACGGTTCTCACCCTCCAGGGTCACGGCGAACCGTGCACCTTTCTCCAGGGATAGAATCGCAGTCTCCGCTGTCACCTCCCAGAGCCAGCGGAGCAGTGACGGCAGGAGGGAGGCCCCCATGCATCCCCTCTACTCCTCACAGGCTCAGTTCCTGGGGGGCCCCGGAGCCAACCCAGCCCCCTGGCCCGGAGGAAGAGCTGAAATAACTTTCACAGAAAATAAACTCATGTCCTGGAACCTCAAAGATGTTGTTAAGAGTCTTTAACAAAGTCAACCGAATGCCACTGAAAACGTCCCATTTTAATGAACAGGTCTGGGAAGTGTGGGAGACCCTGGCGGCAAGAGAGAGCTCTCGGCGTTCCCGGGAAGGCAACGTGGACTCATTTCTCGGGGGGGGGGGGGGGCGGGGGCGTGTCAGAGGCCGGCTGGGCGAGGTGGCCTTCTCTCCGAGACTCCAGAAGACGCAGGGCTCCCCTCGCTCACTGCCACGCAGTCTAGCCCGCTGGCTTCCCTCGGGGCGCGGAGGAGAGCTGAGTCCGAGGCCGAGCGCCGGAGGGGTGTGACAGCAGCCCGCAGAAGACAGCTGTCCTGGGGCCCACGATGGGCAGCCTGGGGCGGACGGTCCCTGGGGCGCAGGGCAAGGAGGAAGGACAGGCGCTGCTTAGGTTCTATTTTCATAGAAACTCAAAGTAACCAAAGGCCACCAAAGATCTCTGCAACCCTCTGAAACAGATTCAGAATGCCCCCCCACAACCTTTAAGCTTTTAGAGACCTGGTCAAGGAGGCCGGGAAGGGGCGCCTGAACACCCAGCCCACGTAGGGCTAGACGCGGCCAGTCACAGGAAAAGTGAGGACAAAGTGGGCCTGGATTTGCAGCGTGAGCCCAGGGCAGAGGGGACACAGTCCTCTCCTCGGGAGACTCTTTGGGGACCCGTCTGCGGTTCTGCTCATCAAGCAAACACGCTCTGCCCGAAAAGGCCACAGAGGGGAAGAAGTCCATTGCAAAGCGCATTTCCAAAGGAACCCTCACTTTATGAAATAATGTGGGGACTCCTTAAAATCCTTGCCAGCCTGACCTCTTTGTCGAATATGCATTTTCACTGACAAAACGTTGTTAACGGTCAACGTTTCCAGAAGACGGGGGGCCGAGGGGAGAGGGAGTCGGCGTGCGGAGAGACAGCTCCCCGGTGGCAGCGGCAGTCACTGAGCGGCACAGGGGACCGGAGACCCGGGTTCTCCGGGACAAGCCCCTCGCCCCAGGTGACCGAGAGCCGGGAGACGTCCCGAGACGGCACACCTGGGGTCCAGCTCCGTCTCACCCCTGCGATGAAGGCTCACCGGAGGTCCAGGGTCACAGCCCCATCACACACTGCGCCGGGCGGTGGTGGGCGCCTCGACCCAGGTTCACCGACAAAAGCCTGCGGCTGTCACGGACTCCGGGCCAGAGTCAGGACGGGCGAATCCGGGAGAAATCTCTCCCCATCACTAATCATTGGTGATAGATGATGTTTAGGTGAATCCAGAAACGACGCTGGAAATTGCAGGTGCGAGTGACAACGTGAGTGAGACGATCACCAGTGGCCACGTTTGCGGGGCGATGAGTCAGCTACTCGGTCTCTGCAGCGCGGCCATGGGCGGGTGGCCGGGGCAGCAAGCAGCAGCCCGGGCTGCACGGGGACACGTCCCAGCGGCAGAAATCCGCGGGGCAGGGGGCGTGTCAGCAGTTTTCCGGGCAGATCAAAGGTGCAGGCTGCCGGTACGCAGGCTCCGGCGGCGCTCCCGGAGGCGGGAGGCAAAGGCTTCCCTGGCTGTACACGTGGGGACAGGCAGGCCCAGGCCGTTTGGGTCATTGGGCCGAGCCTGTCCGGGCGGGCTTGGACCCGAAGCCAGGCCCCGTGGCTCCTGGCCTCGGGCTGCTCCGTGACCTCAGAGGGCACAGGCAACAGCAAGCTCAGCCCAGGGACGCCGCGACCGGAGTCCCCAGTGGCTCCATCGCGCTCCGGCTCCGAGCCAACGCCAGAAGCGCCGTCTCCTCGTCCCACCTCCGAGGCGTCCGCCCCCGGGTGGACTCTGGGGGCAAGAAGCAGGTCTGTCCGGAACACACTGTGCTGATCCCGTGCACACCCAGTGGAGCTCTTACAATGGCCATTGAAATACACTCCCAGGGCTATTAAGTTAATAAAAGGCCTCTTATCACTTTGTCCTTGCAGAATCAGAAAACAAACATTCGTGCCGAGGGAAGGACACACGTGTGTGTGTGTGTGTGTGTGTGTGTGTGTGTGTGTGATTCCTCTGTGAGGCAGGCCTGGGAAAGCCCAGGTTCGAGGGAAACCCCGGAGTGGACGGCTGCTTGGAGCGCCCTGAAACAAAGGCACGTGTCTGTCGCCCCGGGTTCCCTTGGCTTCACGGGAACGAGGTGGCTGCCACCCAGAAGACAGCGGGGGCTCTCACGGAGATGGTGTCCTTAGCTCTTGGCCCTTCCGTCCACTTGGGCTCAGTGAGCGTCACGGGCCAGGCCAGAACGTTGGGACCCGAGAAGGGACACACTGGGACAAGCAGCCGTTCAGCCCGGCAGAGCGGCGGCTCCGAGCCTCGGCCAGTGCTTGAGTCTCCAGTCCTCCCCGCTGGGGCCCCTCCAAGACGCCCCCGCCCCCCGGGCTCGGATTTCCTTCCTGACACCTGGTCCCTTCAGTTCTGGCCCCGGGCCCCCTGCCGCCTCCCAGGGCAGCGCCTCCAGGCCCCTGTCCGAGTGCAGCGAAGGACGTGATGGTGATCTCTTACTGTGTCTCCAGTGGAGGGAAGACTGAGGTGACTTCAGCTGATGTGGGAGCCGAGGGGACGACGGACGGGGTCTGTCAAGTGACAGCCCAGGTGGCACCGAACCCTGGGGTGCTATCACCCAGAGAAAGGACCCACTCTGCCCTTCACCAGCCCGGTGTCGCTTCCTCTCTCCAAGGTGGGACTTGGGTCCATGCGGAGGCTGGAGGTGGAGCCACCACCCAGTTGCCGTCCCAGCAAGTGGACGTGAGAACAGCACTGGGCGGCTTGCGGGAGAGGCAGGTGTGTTAGAAGCTGGTGGGACGGAAGCCTCAGGGCCCCGGTGAGGGCCGTGCAGGTGCGGACGCAGCTCCCTTCCGGCCCTAGCTGGTGCCGGCCCCCAGGGCCGCCTGAGAAGGGAATTATTTACTTTGTCCCCACGTCCACGAAAGTCCGTCAGCGCGTGGGTCGTGGGGCTCTTTAGGAAGGACGGGGCAGAGGCGCGTGGTCGGCAGAGGACCCAGGAAGGAAGGGGGCGTGGGTGGAAGCAAGGGAGGCCCGAAGAGGGGGCGGGCAGAGCTGCAGGGAAGGGAGGGCTGTGGCCCTCAGGACAAGCCACAGGCAGTTGGTGAAAAAGCCAGGGGTAGGGACCCCGAGCAGCCAAATCAATCCTGAGGAACAGGTACCGAGCCGGGGGCATCACGCTCCCTGACTTCAAAGTATACTACGAGACACAATAATCAAAACAGTGTGGTTGGTGCTGGCGAAAAACAGATGCACCGGACGGATGGAACAAAACCGAGATCCCAGAAATACACCCACACGTATACGGGCAACTCGCTTTCAACAAAGGGGCGAAGAACACGCAATGGAGGATGAACAGGCTCTTTGATAGATGGTGCTGGGGAAACTGGGAAGCCGAATGCCGAAGGATGAAATCAGACCGCTGACCCCATCCATGGAAGTGAACTCAAAATGGATTAAAGGCTTAAATATAAGACCCGAAACCATAACATACACAGAAGAAAACACAGGTACTAAACTCATGGACCTTGGCCTCAGAGAGTTGGTTTCGAACTTAACCCAAAGGCAAGGGGAGCAAAAGCAAAAATAAGTGAACGGGACTGTTATCGAGCTAAAGTGTCTGCCCAGCAGAAGAAACCATCAGTAAAACGAAAAGAGAACTGATGTAATGAGAGAGGATATTGCAAACGATACCTCTGACAAGAGGCTAGTATTCAAAAAATACAAAACACTCATACAACTCAATGACGAAAGAATAAACGATCCAGTTTTTTAAACGGGCAGAGGACCCGAACAGACGCTTTTCACGAGAAAACACAGGAACGGCCAACAGACACACGAAGAGACGCCCGGCCTCACTTGACGTAAGGATCACGCGAATCAGAACCACCGTGAGATCCCACCGCACGCCCCTGGGAGCGGCTCTCATCAGCGAGACGGGGACGAGCAGGTGTCGGAGAGGACGCAGAGCAGCCGCGGGTGGGCAGGCACACCGGGGCAGACGCCGCCGAAGACAGTGTGTGCATGTCCCTCAGAAACTGGTAGCAGAGGCGCCTCACGGCCCAGCAACCCCCGCTCCGGTGCCCGCCCCGTGCTCGCTGCAGCCTCACCGACGGCAGCCGCGGCGTGGAGCCCGCTGAGGGGCCCTCGGGTGGGTGACTGGGTAAGGAGGAGGCGCTACGTACACAGGGAGGACTACTGCTCAGTCCCCAAACCGACAAAATGTTGCCAGTTGTGACGGCACGGGTGGATGTGAGAGCGTCACGCTAAGTGCCATAAATCAGAAGGGAAAGGACGGGAACCACAGTGGTGCGCTCGTATGGGGACATCAAACAGAAAGCGCCCTGTGAGCAAACTCACAGGCGTAGATAACCGATGGGGGGTTACCAGCGGGCAGGTGGGCAGGGGAGGGTGAAGAAGGTGAGAGGTCAAATCTACGGCGATGGACGGGGACTGGGCTCTGGGTGGGGAGCCCACCACGCAACACACAGGTGATGTGTCATGGGACTGTCTACCGGAAGTGTATGCATATTGGTATTAACCAATGGCACCCCAATAAATATCACTTTTTAAAAAAGAGAACGTGAAGTTGCTCAGAAAAAGTAGAAATTATCGCAGGGAGTAAACTCTTCATCCTGGCGGCGGCACGCCACACACACACACACACACACACACACACACACACACTCCGAAAGAAAGCAAACCTGCTGAGATGTCATCCTGGGAACTCTTGGGTGCCGTCTGAGCTTTCCGTGGCTGAAGACGCTTCATCCTGATCGGTGGGGGAAGCAAGGAAACACGTCGGTTACCCCGGGCGAGGGCTCCCTGGGGAGGAACGCCTCCTACGCCTGGTAAAACCGGCGGCCTCTTGGACCCAGCACTCGCTGGCCCGGGGCTGAGACCGCTCTGCAGCAGAGACCACTGGGCCGGACTCGCAAGCATAAAGTACTTTTTAGACAAAGTGCCAAACTTGCGAGATAAATTAATTGGGGCAAAACAAAGTTCCAATTTCCCCTCATAGGAGAGTGCACTTTTGCTCAGAAGCCCCTGGGAAGTCCGGTCCAGAGTCCAGTTTGCCATTCACAGTCCACGCAGAATATTTATCAGCACTACTTCGATTCTGATGGGACTTAAGGGCTCTCGGGAGGCACAGAGCCGTGTGGGTAAAGGTTAAAGGTGTGGGGCCCATTCCCCCACAATCCCTGTCCCCCCGGGCCGCCCACCACGGTTTCACGGCGCGAGCGTCTACGTCTCAGCTGGGAACTGTAACACCTACTCCTGCCCAACGTAGAGACCCACGGTTCTCCCACGCAACGGCTCTCTGGACCAGGACAAAGTGTCCGGATGGACATTCGATCACACAGAACCTTTCTGACTGGCCACAGAGAAGGGTGGCTGTGGGCAACCGCCAGTACGGCCACGCGAGTCTGCTCCCTTAGTGCCCGGCCCGGGGCGGGCCCACGTTCGGAGTTTCTACATAAAGTGCAGACTGAGTCCTTCTTGTGTGATAGTTAAGCACAGGAGAAAACACACCCCTGAAGCCCAACAGATCGAAATTCAGACTGAACTGTGTTTCTGATATGCTGGCTCTGGGCGAGAAAGCAGCAGATGGCAGCCAGACAGACTGCTCACAGGGACTGTCGTTAGTTACTACAAAGCAGCGGAGGGACCCCAGAGTCTCGGCGGAGTCTGTGCAAGCTGCTGAGTTCAGCGTGCCGTCTACCCGGGGAGGCGGTGTCGGCCTCTGCCTATGTCGTGAGAGGCATCCCTGCCCTGCTCCCTGCCCTGCTCCCTGCCCTGTTCCCTGCCCTGCTCCCTGCCCTGCTCCCTGCCCTGCTCCCTGCCCTGCTCCCTGCCCTGTTCCTGTGCAGGCGGAAAGGACGAGCAGACCCGCTGCAGCAGCTTCACCAGCAGTTCAGGCAAAAAGGTGGAAACAACGTTTGGGGGGGGGGTCTCACCATCTGATCTAACCCCAAACTGAAACCAGCCAGGAAGCCCATCCCCTTAAGCACCCCCTCAACACCCCACTCACTGTCTCTCCACCCGCCACCCTGGGTCCCCAGGCCGACACAAGAAGCGTGAAGCCACGTCCCGGCGGACCCCTCTGACTTACCTGCGACTCACGGAAGCCTCAAAGGAAAGCGTCTGCTCGTCTGGGATCATGGTGGCCCTCGGCTGTGCCTGAGGAAGAACGTCTCGGTGAGAACACTGCCCCGAAGAGCGCTCCAATTGTCCTGGAGAGTGCATCGCACCACCTTGGCCCACTCAGAGCACACTTCCTGGCGGAGGGACGCACGAAGCCTTTCGCGAGACGAAGGGGCAAAACCGGGAGGGGTTGCCCCGCTCCTGGGGTCTAGGGGCTGCCTCTTCCCGGTCATCAGAGTTTGAAGTTAGACACCTGGCAGTGGGCAAGCCTTCCCGTTCCCATCGATGAGCTGGCACAACACTCTCCGGGCCCCGGGTTCGCCGCCGTCACTTTCTCACAGACCCCTCTGCCCCTTGCACCCCCACCCCAGGACCTCCTTGTCCCCCAGGCTTCTGCTGCCCCAATACGTGTAACCTTTCGGCTGCGTCCACTTGCTTCCTGTCTGCTTTCCCTCAGAGACTTTCAGCCTCACAGGGCAGAGGCCACACCTCTCTTTTTGCATTCCCGGGTCCCAAAATCGTGCCCGTTTAAGAAATATTTGCTGGTCAAATTAGTGAGTGAGTGAGCCCACTTTGAAGCACAGTTGAAAGTGCTAAGTGTGCTGGCCCTGGCTGAGTAGCTCAGCTGGTTAGAGAACCAACCTGATGCACCAAGGCTGCGGGTTCGATGCCCCATCAGGGCACATACAAGGCACAACCGATGAATGCCTAGATACGTGGAACAACACATTGATCTGTGTGTGTGTGTCTAAAAGATCAATAGAACATTTCTGAAAGGAAAAATGCAGGGTCAGCGTGCCCTCCATTCAGCCATCCCTGGAGGCTCCCCACCACAGCCCTCCGCAGGGGGTCCTCCCACACTGAGTGACGGAGCCCCCGGCCCAGGCGCCACAGGAACGCGAGCAGGCATCCCAGCCGGGTCCTGTTTAGGGTTTTCATGCTATTGACAGCCACCCATTTTATGCTCTTACTTGAAGAAACACTTTTCTATTGCTAATCATTTTTTTAAGTTAAGACCTAATTCACATTCCATATAATTGGTGCACCACCTTGGTGCACAACTCCGTGGTTTTCAGTATAATATATTAGCAAAGGTGCGCAGCGATCCCCACTACTTGCTACCAGAACATTCTCACGGCTCCAAGAAAGGAACCCTGTCCTCGAGCATCACCCCTCTTCCCCCGGGGCCTGAGCAACCACCATCTGTGATCTGTCTCCGGGGATTTGCCTACTCTGGACACTTCAAGTACATGGAACCGCACAACATGTGCTCTTTACTGCCCATTTTCTGCCAAAGTCCTGTAGCTTCGCAGCAAGTTTTGAAACCAAAAGTGTGATTCTTTCAACTTTGTGCTTCTTCTAACGATGGTTCGGCTATTATGTACCTCTTGCATTTCCATATGGATTTTAAGACCTGCTTGTCAATTTCTGCAAGAAAGGCCTCTGGGATTTCGAGAGCAACGACACTGAGTCTGTGGGTCAGTTTGGGGCAGTATCGTCACCGTAGTGATAATAAGCCTTCTAGCCCATGAGCATGGGACTATTTTTATTTCTTTAGGTCTTCTTTATTTTTTTTTCTATAACATTCTACAGATTTTGATATACAAGTCTTACCTTTCTTTTGTTACATTTATTCCTACATATCTTAATTTTTGAGCCTATTGCAAATGGAATTTCCTTCTCAGTTTTTTTTTGATGGTTCATTGCTACTGCACGGAAATGAAATTAATTTTGTGTTTTGCTCTTCTGTCCTGTGACTCTGCTGTACTCATTTGTTAGCTGTAATGGTCTGTGTGGGGGCAGGTAGCAGGGGGAGGGCCCGTTAGGACTTTCTGCAGGAAAGATCGCGGCATCTGCAAATACAGTTTCATGCTCTGCTTTCTAATCTGACGCCTCCTGTCCCGCGCCCGTCTGTGTCACCCCCCTGCTCCTCCTGCTCGCCCCCCCGCTCCCCCCGGCCTCACCGTTCTCATTTCCCAGCACGAGGCGCACAGCTGCCTGCTCCTGACCAGCGCCGGGTAGTCCGGCTTCCTCCGGGCCTGGGAGGAGAGAGACGGGAGCAGGGAGGAAGTGCTGTGGCGCCTGGGTCGGCAGAGGAGTGGGAGGGGGTGGAGGGGGAGGGAGGGGCAGTCCTTCCCTCGTGGAGCCGGGATGGACCCTCTGGTGCCGGCCCCACTCCGGGCGGGCGTGGAATGGAGACTGGACTGCAGCCGGGACGTGCAGAAAGGACCCAGGCAGGAGGGGAGGCCCCGGCCCTGGCGGTGGCCTCGGGGCCCCGGCGTGCAGCGGCGCAGGCGTGTGACCGCTGGCAGAAGGGGCCGGGGCTGGACCCAGGCCCGTTCTTCCGACCTGAGCTTGCAGGCTGAGGGGCGGCCCTCTCCCCCTTTCGTGCAGAGGACCCGCCACGGCAGCTAGCTGAGGGCCTCCGGCGGCCTGAGAACTGGGAACAGAGGCCTTCCCTTCCGTACACCTTCCACGGGCCCCCCTTTCCCACGTCTCAGCTCGACATTGGCTCTCCGGCACACACTGTCCGGCCGGGGCACCCCTTCGCGACCTCCCGGGAGCCACGGGTTCAGCCCCAAGCAGAAGTGGGGCTTGTGGGAGGGGGGTCCTGAGCTCCTCCCACCGGGCAGCAGGGACAGCACGGCAGCGGCCTGTGTGTGCTCAGTGGCCTCTCCCCGCCCTCCCTCCTGCCCGGGCGGAAGGGAGGCCTCCGAGCCCTTGCACTCGCTCGCTCGCTCGCTCCGCTGGTGGCCTTGGAGTTGGGGAGCGAATGTCAACTTGAGGCTACCGTTCTGCCTGGGGGTTCTCTGCCACCTCCCTCACTCGCAGTGACAGCAGAGTGGTGAGAGGGGCCCACAGGAAGCGTGGGCCCTGGGGGAGGCGGGTCCCAGGGACACGCAGCAGCCCATCACCGGCCCTGGAGCCCCCTCCTGCCCTTGGGTCTGCTCCTGGCGACGGCCGTGCCCTGGCCTGTTCCTGCCGCCCTGGGCACGTGCCCAGGGCGGGGAGAGGAGGCGCGTGTTTAAGCTGCGAGGGGAGCCTGGGTGTGTGGCCTGTGCCAGTGGGTCTGGTGTGGCTCCGTCCTGTGAGTGACCCAGCACTGGGGTGAGGCATTATTGCAGGGCTGAGGACTACAAACTAGGGACAGAGTTGGAGTCTTCGGCCAAATGTTTAAAATGCGTTGCATTGTTACAGGCCATTTTAGAAGAATGCACGCAGTATCACCGCACTGCGGGCTGGCATGTTACAGGGTGAGTGTGAATGACTGTGTTCATTCATTCGGCCACAAAGCCTTCATTGTGAGGCCGCCGTGCCGAGGCAGGCACAGAGATGAAGGAGACCAGGTTCGTGGCCCGAAGGAAGACCAGGGAAGAATGCAGACTCATGCACTTGCCCATTCCAGTTAGGGCTGGGGACGGCAAGGGAAGGGAGACACAGCTTCTCGGCTGGCACCTCCGGCAGCCTGTGCATGCCGCGGTGCAGAAGGCACTCTGACGGAAATGCACTGCGGCCACCGGGGCAGCGGCTGGGTCACGGAGGGCGGGCCTGCGAAGGGTGAGAGGAGCAGGCAGTGCTTCGCTCGCTCGGGCGGGTGTTGCGGGGAGAGCAGGAGGAGGGAGGGCATGCCAACCTGGAAGACCACCTAGGCGCCGCCGCAGGGAGGAGCGACCCAGCAGGTAGCCGGGGAGGGCTGGGAGGGGCGCCCTGAGAGGAGAGGCTGGAGGGCAGAGTGAGAGGAAGGGCCCAGTGCCGGCCCCTCTGCTTCTGGAGCAGTTCGCCCTCCGCGTCTTTCCGGAGGTCCCGGGTGGAATCCCCTCCGTCCCCCCTCACATTTCTGCGTCCTGAGACTCAGACACCTCCCGGAGTCTGCGACGCAAGCGTGGACACATTGGGTAGCCCTGAAGAGGCAAGGAAACTTCTAGGCCTCTAGCAAGGAGCGAGACCACGTCCCACTGGAGGGATCAGGAAGGGCCCAGAGGGTCTACAAAGAAGTGAGGTCAAGTGCCGGACTCCGCCGGCCTCCGAGCCCTCCCTCCCGGCCGGCTGCCCTTCCCAGCCCTGGAACTGAGGCCACATCCTCGGGCCGCATCCCCTTTCGCTCCCGGCTCCCTCTAGGCCGGCTCCACGGCGGCGGCAGGAACGCAGCGTGAACCAGCCAGGGGCTGAGCGCACAGGCCCGGGCTGTACCGTCTCCAGTCCGTGCCCCCCTCCGAGGAAAGGGGCTCTCGGTGTTAACAGGCTTCTCGTTTCCCAGGCAGCTGTCCCCAGAAGAGCAGGTGGCAGTGTGACGGGGAGGGAGGACAGCCTCTCGCCGCCTGGCCAAGGTCTGCTGCCGACTCCAGCCGGTGCCTGGAGGCCACGGCCTGCTCTCCACATCTCACAGCTGGAAACGTCCTAATGTCCGAGGCCAATACCTGCCCAAGTCCCAGAGGTCTGGCTCATGGCCCAGGCCCTGGGCCCCCTTGAATCTTTGGTAAATACGCATAGAAATGTGTCTCTTTCTCTCCTTCTCTCTCTCGCTCTCGGATGCACACACACACACCTGTCCACGTAACACGAACTGAAAATGTAAGCACCAGATGGGGACTTTAAAAATAGCCTGATTTGAGGGGCACTGGCAAATTTGCCTCTGCACTTCCTTCCCTTCGGCACCTCCGTTCCTTTTCTCCTTTCCACTCCTGCCTTAGCCGAGGGAGGTGGCCTGGCTCAACTCTTTCAATGAACCCAACGAGGAAACTGTGGCCCCCAAAGGGGAAGGGGTTTGTCCGACAGGACATGTTTCACTTGTCAGCCAGAAGGTTCTCTGGATGAAGGGTCAAAGGGGACCGCAGACTCTTGGGGTCCATACGAGGGCACCACGATGCCCATATCCCTCAGAATCCAGAGTGGTGCTCAGAGAACTATGTTCAGTATTCAAAAATAAATAAATAAAAAAAAACGATTTTCAATATGCCAAAAAAAAAAACCCCAACCCTATGATGATGAAACCTGTTCCTGCTCTCTGAAAATACCAGCCATCTCCATTAAACAAAAAAGCTAAGTGTAGTTTTCAAAATTCTCTTACTGTTCACTAGGAAAAACTTGAAACCTACACAGGATAAGCGACAGCCATGTACCTGCCGTCCTGACGCATCAGACTCGGTTACTCTTGCTGTGGATGCTTCAGGCGGTGGTGTCCATTACCGCCCCCTTCACCTTGCCTCTGCAGGTGTGTGTTGGGTCTACAGACACGGGAGGGAGACCTGCGCGCATACAAGGCAGTTTCCACGGTGGGCACGAGCATTTCAAAACCGAGAGCCAATGAGAGAAACCACCGAGTTCTCAGTGGGGAGAACGCTGGAAGGCCCCCTTCTGTGTATTTGTTTTCTCAGCTGCCTCTCTGCACACTGTCACCAGCCAGGGCTTTTTGTCACGGGGCTGCTACAAACGAACTAAACAATGCTCTCACCTTTCCTCTGACTCATTAGACTGGAGGACAACAGATGGAAGAGGAGACGGGGGAGGGGGGGCAAGAATGGAGGGAGTGGGGTGGCCTTTCACCCTCCCAGACAGGGCGGAGGTTACACGCAAGCCCAGCAGGTAGACACGGGGTGCAGGGCTCCGAGGGTAGCTCTCTGGACGCCCCCCACACATCTGCTTTGCCCGCCCTGGAGCTCGGAGGAAGCCGCCCCCTGGCCTCAATCATCCGATTATCAAATTACATGTCCCCGGCTCCGGGCACCCCAGGTCCATGCTGGTGATGGAGGTCACGACCAAGAGAGGCGCCGCTCCACAGCAGAGATTCCCACGCGGGATGTTTAGGCTCCGGGTCTTCGTGTCTGTTTCCTTTCTTCTTCGTGAGCTCTGCCTCTCCGCTTCCGCCTCCGTTTTATTTGTTTACTTATGTTTTTTTTTTTGGTTTGTTTTGTCTCCGTGCCTCTCTGAGTGTCTCTGGGCTCTGCTGTGTCTTCCCATTTCTGAGCCTCTGTTTCCTGTCCTTCTGTTCCCGATCGGGGAACAGTGCGCCTCCCACGGACAGACAGACAGACAGACAGACACCTGCATGGCCCCGGCCGCTCCCCGGCAGGGAGGCCGCCGCCGGGCTGTGGATGTTCCAAGTTCTGCCCCGTGACCTGTGCCTGCGATGAGGAGGGAGCCAGGAGGCGGGACGTACACATGCACACGCACACGCCCGCGCACGCGGGGGGTGAGGTACCTGAGCCTCCTTCCCCAGGGCAGTGACGGACGTGGACTTGGACTTGTGACCACCCGAGACTCCGCCCTTTGCTCCGGCCAGGGAGGCTGTTGCTCTGAGCTGCCCTCTAGTGGCCACGGGTGAGCATTGCAACAGTAAAATTCTGAGCCCAGGAGGTGGTCCGCTCAGCTGTGCCGGGCGGCGTTAGCAATGCCTTCTTCCTCCCAGACCTCCCTGGCGACTGCGGTCTCAGTGCCTTGGACAGCACGGCACCCTGAGACCCAGAGCAAACCTGGGAGGAGGAGGAGGAGTCTAGCGGCAGAGGGAGGCTGTCTACATGAGAAGCCCAAGGAGACTGAGGGACTGAAGGCTTCTTGCTGGTTCTGCGTCCGGGCCCAGCAGGTCCCTGCTCAGCCTCTTGGTCACAGTCACAGAGGCGGGCACTCTTAGCTGCGGGCCTGCCCAGGGTGTCAGGGGATTACTGAGGTCACCCCGAGGCTCAGCCCTGCCCCTGCCCCTCCTGTGCTAAGGCCAGGCCACCACCCATCTCCGTGGCCCCTTCCACGGAAGCCCGAGTCTTTGATGCTCTTCCGCCGAGTCCTGCCGTTCAGTCTCCAGGTCTCATCTCCGGGGCTCTTCCTCGCTTGTGGAAATGCGCTCCTCCAGACCCGGTGAGGGGCCCCTTCCTCCGGATCCCGCCTGGCTCCATCTCCGCTGTCCCCTCCCCCAGCCCGCAGGGGACCTGTCTCCCTCCCACCCCCTCTGGGGTGCTTCTCCAGCAGCTGTGTGCCCATCCCATCCCGTCCCCCTGTCATTTATGTAGAGGGAAGCTGGTCTGCTCATCCCTGCATCTGCATGAAACCAGATAAAAAGATAAAAGGGCTCTGAAAGCCCTTGTTCACAGACTTGAGCGCCGGTCACAACATGGCCATGGTCACGGAGCTCTCCCCGAGAGCCCCCAGGAGCCCCGCCCCCAGGAGCCCTGCCTGCCGGGTAATTTTTCAGGCGGAGAAGCTGCCTTGGGTCCCCCAGACCTCGCTCTCTCTTCCCCCAGCTCGGGAGGTGCTGACTTCACAAGCACCCTGAGTGTCGGGGGCCCTCTGCAAAGCTAGTGTCCCGGAGTGTCCCCCAGCTGCCAGGCATGGTTGGCTTCTGGGTGGCAGACAGGAGGCATTTACAATGTGGAACCCCGTGTGTGTAGGGGGCCTGGGGACTCTGGTGGTGGGAGAGAGGGAGAGACCCAGAAACGACCTGGGGGCCAAACACGGGCTGAGAAACGGCCCGAAGGCCTCGGGGCAGATTCCCCAGTGGACTTTTTGGGTTTCCCTTTTGGCTGGCGCTCACCTGCTGCCTTTAGTCTTAGCTCTGGGGACCAAGGGCCCTGGAGACGGGGTGGGGGGCTGGGGTCATCCATATCGTTCAGCAAATGTCCACGAAACACCTACGACACAACATCCCAGGCTCGGGCTGTGCTAAAGGGACAGGAGGTGCCTTTGGAGTCACATCCAGGTCATCCCAGATGCGTGCTATGGGTTTCTGTGCGACCGGAGAAAACACCGAGTACCTGCAATGAGTCGTCTGGAACTTGAAACACACTGGGCAAATTCGTATCCTTCTTGTATGAAATCAGAAAAGTGGCAGCGGCGTGAGGGTATCTGAGTGATGGAAACAAGCGCAGGTTAGAACTATAGTCCCCAGGGTGAGGAGCCAGGCCTGTGGCCCCATTTCAGAGAAGCTAAGGGACACCCCGGGGAAGTCCCCCACCCCTGCACCCAGGCTGGAGGGCCCCCGGGCCATTTGGGGGTTCCCCAAGATGGCTGTGCCCTCACCCTGGCTCCTCTGTCCCTTTTCTTTTGAACTAACCAGTGCCAGCTGTGGATTGTCAGAGACCATGTGCAGACTAAGGGAGGAAAAAAATAATTGTGCATAACACAGATGCTTGATGGGTGAAATACCGCAGCTCTCCTCCTGAGGAGACCTTCGTGAATGGGATTGCGGCTTAACAAGCGCCGACCTTGGGGCCTGCCTGGCCCGTGTTCTTGGAGCCCATGGCCCTGCCCTCGGAAGCAATGCGCCCACTTTTTCCCGTGGAACATTTTCTCCCTCCTGCCACTCCCCCCCACGTTCCTTGCTTCCCAACCACAGCGGAAGTAGTGATGCTTTTCCTAGAGTGGCTGGCCCTCCGGCCAGGGCGGGTGGTGTTATTACTATCCTGGGGGCCGAGGCGTGCAGAGGCCTGGTCACTTTCCATCCACCACAAGCCTGTGGCCTTGCCTCACGGCCCGCCTCTCCCAGAGCAGGGGCTCCCTCCGCCCCCCGGGAGCAAAAATGGGGAGGAATGAGGAGCCCTTGTTGTTTCGAGCAGCAGCACTGGAAAGGCCCCCTACCCACGAATCCCCCCGGGGCTGAAACACAGAAACTTGTTCAGGAGCAGGGGGTTTGGGAGGGGCGGAGCGGTGAGACTGTAGGAGATGATCTCAGACCCACACCTGGGCTGTGGCTCCTCTATGGAGGCAGGAATGTGAGGTTCTGGACTTCGACGGTTAAAATGTCAGCGGTTCACACGGAAGCAGAGGAGAAAAGGGAGGATGAAAGTGTTTTGACAGGCAGTGTCTAGGGGCAAAATTCTCTTGATGGCTGAGTGGTGGGGGCAGAAATGGAAGTCACTTCAGATCTGTCCCCTCCCCTCCAGCCGAGCCTCCACTCCACGCTCACCTCTGTCTGAGATCCCCAGACCACGGCCGCCTTTTGAGCATTTGATGTGGGTTTCTCCGCTGACCAGACATGTCCCTCTGACAACCCCCCACCCGCTCTTCCTAAGAAATCATCTGCCGTGTGACCTTGCACCGTTCGCCCCCCAGTGGCGGAGCTGGTACCTTTGGGGGAGGCTGAGGAGTAGGGGCTTGTTTCTGAGGCTGGCGTCGCTCAGCCACGGAACCTTGTCAAACTTGGGAACAGAAACCTGCAGAGAAACGGAGAGAGATCATTTTGCAGAACCCATTGTGCTTGACCGTTGGGGCCACTGTGATGAGCAGAGCAAGCTGATGGCAGCTAGACAGCAGTGGAGACGTTTTCATGACTTACGGTTGACTCTTCTGAGTCTCCCATAAAGAGGCCAAGAGCAAATGCGGGTCCCCACTGGACTGAGACAGCACTGGAAGCTCAGCGGGTTTGCCCAGCCACGCACACAACGCTGGGGAGTGGCTTCAGGTTTCCCCACTTTTGTGTCTTGTGTTCTCTTGTCCCTTTGCTTCTGGGTCTTGTCCACCCGTTTATGCATCCTCGGTTATTCCCACGCACTGCGCTCAGTATCAGCACCCTGCCCTAGTCTCCGGCTGTGTCCGCCCCGCTCACCCCTTCTCCGAGGCACCGAGGGAAGGACCGCGCTGTGACGCTGTAGGTGGCTGGGCGTTCATCTCAGTGAGTCCGCTTCCCAGCTGTGTGGCCTGGGGCCGACCACAGCCTCTCCAGCCTCAGCGTCGAGCCCCGAGAGAGCGGGCCATCACAGGGCAATGCAAGGGACAGAAAGCTCCCGGAGAGCGGGGGTGTCGCCTGTTCCGTCCAGGGCTGTACCAGCAGCACCTAAAACCGCGCTTGGTCCCTGTGGGAGGGCCTGACTTCACTCTAGGATCTCCATACCGGGAGCCGTGGTCATCCCCCTTCTGCCAGCCCAGCCCGCGCCCCAGCCCTTCGGACGCCAGGTCCCCTGTCTTTCCTAGGTTCCGAGCTTCTCGTGCCCGGAGGAGCGACCCGGAGTCCCGCGAGCGGCCGCGAGGGGCAGCAGCGCGCACGCCGGCGGGGACGGGGCGGGGCGGGGCGGGGGCGGGGGCGGGGCCGCTCGGGCCGCGGGGTGCGGCGGACCCGGAAGTGCTCGCCCGCCGGCGCGACCCCGCTGCCCCCGCGCCCCGGATGGGGAAGGAGGCGGGCGTCCGTTCCCACCTGACCGCGCTCCCCTGCGACCGGGCCGGCAGGTGGGTTCCGTCCGAGCAACTGTCAGTGTTTCCGGGCCTCCCTCCCGGCTGGGCGGGGAGGCGGCGGCGGCGGGCGTCCCGGGGACGCCTTGCCGGCACCAGCGCTGTCCCCGATCGGTGGGCCGGCGCTGCCCTTGGGCGCCGTGGATCTTCCCGCCCCGGCGGTGCCCTGGCCGGGGTCCCTGCTGCGGTGGGGGCCTCCCAGGGTCCGTTTGTGTGATGCGGCCACACCTGTCGTGGTCTCCGCGCGACAAGTGAGACCGGGCAGTGAGTGCTCCACACAGTTGCTGGCATGTCTGATTCCTAGTTTTCCCAGCGTGACAGGCGGGTCACTGTCTCCGATCCCCGCAAGACTTTCGTCCTTGTACGTGGGAGGATCGCTCTTTAGAGGACCGTAACCCCAGTTAAAGGATTAAAGACATGTCGTTTCTGAGCCCGTGGATTTGGCTAAATGAACCGTAGAGCTCACCCTTGTCTCTGTGGGGCAGTTTGCTGTTGCCCTCAGACCTCTTTAGTACTAGATGTCTTGGAGACCCCGGTTAAAGCCCTGGGTCCTGTCCCTAGACATTCGCATAAGTGGCAGCGACACGCACGCCGCGACAGGGCTTGGGGACGCTCGGAGCCCATCCACAGTCCTCAGGGGTGTGAACCCCGAGTTAAGAGCTGGTTTGGTGGGAGGCGCAGGCTTTGGGGTCAGACTTGGCACCTGGCTCCACCCTTTACCACTGTTAGCTTGGGCCAGAGTTACCCGAGCGATTCCAGTCTCAGCTTTTTTATCAAAGCGGGACTAACACTAAGGTGAACTCGCAGGGCTGGGGCTATGAGATGGAAGAAGCCACGTGAGGCACCTGGCACGTCCCGGGCACTCAGTGCTGTCTGCTCTGACCCCAGGGACGATCATTTAAAATCTGAAAGGCAGTTTTAAAGCCTGTAATTGTAGCAGGGCCACCACATATATTTTGCTCAGACTTTTACTAAAGTGAGTTGGTTTGATTTCAACTTAGCCCTACCCTTGACCTTCACAAGCTTTATAGGTCCCTGGTCTGTCTTTTTCTAGGAACTTGCCTCAGGGAAGGAACTTGGCCCTCGCAGGGCTCGACTGCGTTGCTGCTTTGAAAGCAAGGCGAGGTTGGCACCGCGTCAGCCGCAACACAGCATGGGCTTTCCAGAGAGGTCCTCGTCCCAGACCTTGTAGAGGACGGGAGCCACCTGGACTTCGGGGAGGGACACTGGACGGGTCTGAGGGCCAGGGCAGGGATGACGTGTGCCCAGCCCGCGACCGGCACCACGGAGACCAGGTGGCAGAAGGTCTTGTATGAGCGACAGCCCTTCCCTGACAACTACGTGGACCAGCGCTTCCTGGAGGAGCTCCGGAAGAACATCCACGCCCGGAAATACCAGTACTGGGCCGTGGTGTTCGAGTCCAGCGTGGTGATCCAGCAGCTGTGCTGCGTCTGCGTTTTTGGGGTCACCTGGTGGTACATGGACGAGGGTCTTCTGGCCCCGCATTGGCTTTTTGGGACCGGCCTGGCTCTGTCGCTGATCGGCTACGTTCTGTTCGATCTCGTGGACGGAGGGGAGGGGCGGAGGAAGAGCGGGCGGACCCGGTGGGCTGACCTGAAGAGCGCCCTGGTCTTCATCACCTTCACGTACGGCTTTTCGCCCGTGCTGAAGACCCTGACGGAGTCCGTCAGCACCGACACCATCTACGCCATGTCCGTCTTCATGCTCTTGGGCCACCTCATCTTCTTCGACTACGGCGCCAACGCCGCCATCGTGTCCAGCACCCTGTCCTTGAACATGGCCATCTTTGCCTCTGTCTGCCTGGCCTCACGCCTGCCCCGGTCCCTGCACGCCTTCATCATGGTGACCTTTGCCATCCAGATCTTTGCCCTGTGGCCCATGCTGCAGAAGAAACTGAAGGCGTGCGCTCCCCGCAGCTACGTGGGGGTCACGCTGCTCTTTGCGGGCTCCGCCTTCGGGGGCCTGCTGTCCGTCAGTGCCGTGGGGGCCACCCTCTTCGCGCTGCTGCTGGTGTCCATCTCCTGCCTCTGCCCTTTCTACCTCATCCGCCTGCAGCTTTTTAAAGAAAACATCCACGGGCCCTGGGATGAGGCTGAGATCAAAGAAGACCTGTCCAGGTTCCTCAGCTAAGTTAGGGACCTCCCTTCCGTTACTCAGGCCAGCTGGTGGACCGGCCCTCCAGCCAGCATTCCCTCGGAGGCCGAGTGCCATTCTGGAAGCAGCGGGCTGATGCGGGTGGGAGAACCGAGGTGGGAAGAAGCAGCGAACCAAAGGCTGGGGCGGTGACCGTGCTCATCCTTCGTGTTTGGTGGATGCAAAAGCCCTGGGGCCCTAAGGGATGATGGCCTCCCGTGTCTCACTCACCCTAACAGACGGAGTGATGTGCTTTCTGTTTATTAAAAACTTAACAACATATCCAGCAAATTGCGTCATGGTTTTCTGTAAGCAGAAGGCAGATGGTAAAAGTGTGTGTGTGTGAGTGTGTGTGTTAATAAAGCCACTTCTCTACCCTTTTCGGTGGACCAGTGCAGCCTCTGGTACTCACCTAGACCTCAGGTCCTAGGACCCTGTTTTGGGACCCTAGGACCCAAAAACTGGCCACGTCCAGTTTTGCTGCCTAAAACTGCAGGCTTAGTCTCGTGGCCTTGACTCAGAGTGTCCACTTCGTTCCTAGTGCAGCACGTGGGGTCATAGTACACTGGAAAATGTTGGGGGAATTCGAAGAGGATGGAGGTCAAGTTAAGCTGGAATATTAGGAAATAATTCCGAGGGGAGGTGGTGTTTGACGTTAGTCTTGGAGGTTAGGTGAGACTTAAGTGGGAGGTTAAGTGGGCAGAAGGCAGTTTTAGGGCAAAGCGGCTGGGGCGTTCTGGAGCCAGGTCAGTGAGAGCGGCCAGGGCGGCTCGTGCAGCGGACCAGGGGCAACTGGAAAACGAGGGCGCGAGCCCTGTGCCGGGAAGCAGGGGCGGCCGCCCCTCTGCGCCACGGGACGGCTAGTCAGAATTCGGGCCTGGCTCCGGATCTTTAGAATACCAAATAAAATTCTCACTGAAATCCTAATAGCTATCCGTGTCGAAGGTCACAAGCAGCTCGTTTTATTTGGGCGCCTGATGCTGCCGCGCAGAGATCTGAGCGTAGCGACGCGCGCTGGTTCTGTGTGGCGACCCAGCTGGAGTCAGGGTCGTGCCCTTACGCTGCCGTCAGTGCTGCGGGGTTTGGAGGGCGCCTCCGGGCAGCTGGCTTCAGTTGCGGATTTAAGAATGCATGCTGAGCGTATTTGAGGAAGCACACAGAGCCATCGTTGACACCTTCTAAGCCAAAGGCTGAAGGTCAAGAAAAACAAAAGCCAGCCAGCAGAGGGCATCGGTCACACGGTTTTACAAAGTTTCACACGGGTTGCACGCTGGGAACAGGGCTGGACACAGTGCCACCTTGTGGAAGTTATTGGTATTCCCTCTTACAATGAAATGCAAGAAGAATCTTGGGACTCTTGCTGAGCCGTGGTTTGGGAAAGAGCTGAGAGGTCCCCGCAAATTCAGGAAATACTCAGCACACCGTGGTGTTTGCTGAATTGTCACAGCTGCACTGTCCAGCGCCCAGGGTGTACCAGGCACTGCGTCGGGCACTTTGTTGTCTACTTGTCTTAACAGTCCTGTCCCCCAGGTACTGCTTTCATTTCCAAGTTGAGGAGACTGAGAATTCCCCCGACATCTAACATAAACCTTCCCTGCCCGCCAAGGCCTGTCTCTGCTTACTTGGTACCATCACCGTTTTGTGTCTGGCCTCGGGAATTTACTGAACAGATATTTGCTAAGGACTAGCTACATAACGTATTGTTTATGTGATTGTTACGTATCTGACTAAGACGGACAAAGGAGCTTGACCTGGTAGAGCTTACACTCTAGCAGGGGAAGACAGATGATAGGCATTATAGAAGAAGGTGATACATGCTATGGGGAAGCAGCAATGGTTTTAACCAGGGGGGTCAGGGTAGGTCTCAGGGAAAAGGTAACAATTAAGCAAAGACCTGGAGCCAGGTTCCCGGGAGTGGCGGGGTGGGGGGGGGGGGGGGGACAAAAGAGTGGATACACAGGCCCTTAAGAGACTGAAAGACGAGTGTTTCAATGTTGTTATTTGTAGCTTCAAAAACAGACCGCAATCCTCTGTCACCCACTTCAGTGACTTCGCCCTTCCTGTCTCGGGGATCCTGCCGTCTCTCTGCCCCCCCGGGCCGGCTGAGGGCTTCCTGCCTGCCTGCGCAGCCACCCCCCCCCCCCCCCGCCCTCGTTCACAAGGGGCCTCGAAGACGAGAGCTGGGCTGGAGATCAGGGCCGGGCATAAAGTACCGTAGAACTCGACTTGATCAGAAACAATGGGAGGAGCAGTTTGTAGCCTCCACCCCTTTGACAGCTGCAGAGGCCTTGCCAAGCCTAACACGCTGGCAATACCGTGACTCAGCAGTAACCTGCAGTGTAAGAAACCCCAAGAAAGCGGGCGCGTATGCCGGGAGTGGAGGTGACTGGCGTGTCCTCTGATTAATAAGTCAGAGACAGGCTTTGTCGTATTATCAAAGGCTACAGAAGCCTTTTTCTTCTTCAGCAACTCTTATCTTCCTGTGGGTGAGGTTTGTGCTTTTCTAATGGATTCACAGTCGCAAAGGTGTCCTTCAGAATCGCGTGGAACAGAGCCAAAGATTCCAGTAACAAGTTTCTGAGTTTTTTTTTAACTAATACTTAATGTTGCGTTATAAAACAGATGTTGGCCAGTACTACATTTTTTTCCAAGTCAGGGATGAAAAGGAAACAATTATATCATACTCCAAAACCACTGAAAGTGTCACAAACGAACAACAGAAGGTATTTCCTTATCTCCTTGTGGCTCTCACCTTCTCGGACACAGGTGGCAAACATAAGGCCCGTGGGCCAAATCCGCCCTCCGCCTGGTTTCATGCGGCCCGGCACCTTGTTTCTACCCGGGGGCAGCGCTGAGCTCCTTGCCCCTCGTTAAGGAGTAGTTGCATGTATACAGTCCTAGAGTTACATTCGGCCCTTTGAAGGCCACCGCGAGGCTGATGTGGCCCCCGGTGAGAGTGAGTGTGACACCCCCATCTGGGATGTTTGCTGAAACACCCCCTCAGTGTATCTGTGGCGCCCAGAGCTCATAGCCATGTATTTGCCAGTGAGACTCTAAGGAAAGGATCAAAAGTTTTATTTTTCCTTACCTTCAGTTCTCTTTTCTCCATCTCTTAGATGCTTTGGGTTTTTCCAGCTGGAGACTGGGGAGCTCTCACACCTCTTACCGGTTCCAGTGGAAGGCAGCTGCAGGTGCCGTCTGGACCGAAAGCCTATTTGCCGGAAGCCAAACCAATGTGAACGGAGTCGTTCAGTTTCGATACCCACTGGGTCATTTTCTCAGCCAGCACTTCGGGGATGTGGAGGCTTGCATGATGCTATTCCATTAGAGATGAGAAGTTTGGTTTCTGATTGGCCGAAATGAGTTCCACTGCTCCTGTCTTTGTCGGAGGTCAACACCAGCATGTTCTAGAACACGAGCACGCACTGGGTGAAGTGGGTAGCCTGGCTTTGGAACTCCAGTAGCTTCCGTAGCACTGAAGTCAGTGACAGCTGTCCCTGGAAACATGACCAAGGTGTTCCTACCAGAGCAAATGCCTGTTTGTTGTGTAAACTGCTCTGACCTTGTCGCTTGTCTGGGGGTCCCAGTCACTAGGACATTCTCATGCATTCGAGGGAGGGTCGATGCAGAAGGGGATGAGGATATTTGAGAAATGTTTTTTATTTTTAAAAAATTTTATATATTGGCTTTTAGGAAGAGACAGAGAGGAGAGAGAGAGAAAGGTATTTGTTGTTCTACTTATTCATTCATTGATCGGTTGATTCTTGTATGTGCCCTGGTCAAACACCCAACCTTGGCACATCCGTACGACACTATAACCAGCTGAGCTACCCGGCCAGGGCAAGAAATACCCTTTATTACAGGTCTAACGGTTTGTTCTTCCTGGTGACCCAAGTTATGGTCGATGCTGAAGAACGCTGTGCTTTTTGAACTCTCGAATGTTGAGGGAGGCGGTGGGGGCAGGGGACCGGGGGAGGGGAATATCATGAAACTCAGAAACACTATGAACAGCAGATAGAGACGAACCACCTTGGCATGATTTACCTTCACTCCAGGCTACTCCCTGCGCCCCTTTCCCCTCGCCCGCCTGTGGTGAGGGAGGGACCACCCCTTTCTGCTGAGCTGCATCCCACTGCCTGGGAACTGGTCCACTCTGCTGGACTCCAGTAATCCTTTCTCCTTGTTCAGCGGGTCAACCTAAGTTCTAAAGTCCTCCAAATTGTCTGTCATTGCATAGATGACACACATTGCATAGATGACACATTGCTGAAGATGAAGTGGCGAAGTACCAACCACCTAAAAAAAAGGTGAATCGGCGAAAACCTTCCCGGTGAGAACTTCCGTCCTGGTTTGGGGAGGGGGTGTGAAATCACCCGGGAACGCCGTGTCTGTGGTGGCGCGAATCCCACCCAGTGAGGACACGGGGGACGGGACGGCCACCTGGGCCGCAGGCGAGGGGGGCGGAGGGCTGCACGCTGTGCCTGTTCTGCATCAGCCCGTCACCCCCACGCAGACCTGAGCTTCAGTTCCTGGCCCCCTGTTGGGCGCCCTTGACGTTCCTCAGTCACCGGTGCCTCCGACCCGCAGTCACTGGGCCTGGGACGACGCGTCAAGACTGGACTTTCGTGTCATGTGAAAATGTAACCTGAGACATACGCTGGTTTTGCGTGTTTGAGTGGAGTGTGAAGTCCTTAAAAAAGGTTTTTTTTCATGGTCCAGAGACAGAGCCCTGTTAAGGAGGGAGGGGTGTCCACCACTTCTGTCGGAGGTTCCGGCCCACGGGTCCACCGGGACCGCCCTTCCCAGGGCTCGCCGCGCTCGGGTGGGCGCGAAGGGGACGCGGCGCCGGTTCCCGATGAAAGGCACCGGTGTTCACGCTCCTGCCCTGCGGTCTCCCACCTGCACCTGCCGGACAGAGGCGCGCTCGGCCCGGGTCTCGCCCAGGGGCAGACACTTCCAACTTCTAACTTAGACCGTGTGCGTCTTTGGAAAGAAAATTCTGAGTTCAATCTCAGACCTTTGGGAAGGGTTCGGATCACAGGTTTGGCAGGATGTAGAATATTACGTTAATAATGAACATTTTATTGGACAAATCTTTGTTTTGTTTTGTTTTAATGATAGCTTAAAATTTCAGTGATGCAATTATCCCTGGAGGGTGAAGGTATAAAAAATTCTATTTCCCCCCAAACTCACAGAGATGGTATTCTTCCAGACCTTGACTTACATCGTTCGAAGCTTTCTCCTCGAGGTGGCACCGTGGCCTTGCCTGGTACCGTTATTCTGAACGATATTCCCCCCTAAATTTGCCAAAACACAATGTGTGAGCTTTATGCGTCCAGGACCGGCAATTTCTTCCATGAGCTCACATATTTCACCTCGCACAGGAGTCTTTAGAAAAATTCTAAAAGTGGCAAAACTTTTTGTGCGATAATAATTATTAACGGGATTCTTCTGAGGCAGGTTGAAGTTAATCACTTTTCCTGGCTCCCAGAATCTTTACCGCAACTTTTTGCACTTCCGTCGGACAGACGTTTCAAATCGAGAATAGGTTATTGTTCACACCAAATAGCATCTTAAATCACAATGCTTTGAGAACTTCAAATTAATCTTTTTTTTTTTCAAGTGAAGCTCCTTAAAAGATCAAGGTATGTATGTTTCACCTTACCTGGTTCGAGTGGCAAAGAACTCTTATTTGAATCTGGGTCTTCTTTGGAAAAAAGAAACAGGACGCATTTCGGTGGTTTCATATACAGAATAAACTTTGTGTTTATTATAGTCGTGGACCAAAAATAAAGGCTTTTATGTACACAGGACGGACAGGGCAGGTGACAGGCGGCTGGACGCCGCGGGGGGGCAGGCTGCTGGGGAGGGGAGGAGGCGGATGGCGAGGGTTAGGATGGTCGTCCGGGGACGGCAGGAGGGGGCCGCCTGGGGAAAACAAAACAGACAAAATAACAGAACGAAAAACACGGAGGCAGAGGGAGAAAACGATGTCTGGATTATTCTAACACAAATCCAAATGAGAGCATGCAAAATTAACCCATGAAAATCACGCTCAAATCAAACCCAAAAAGCATGCAGACAAGGGGAGGGTGTGGGGGGGTGTGTGGGGGGGTGGGGGGGATGCCAGGCGGCGGTCAGCTGTTCCCGGGGCTGTCAGGAGTGCGCCAGGTACGAGCCATCCGAGCCAGGGGATGAGGGGCCCACGCAGCCGCATTCGGGAGGCCCAGGCACCAGAGACAAACACCTTTACCCCCGAGGGTCTGTTTCCCAGCCCTGACGTTGGGACATTTGGTGATTTCCCAAGATTTTGATAAACACTGTGACGCTTCCAGAGGGGGAGAGGGAGTTGGTGTAGAAACAGGACAGGTGAGACTTTTTCGAGGTGAGGGGAATTAGAAGGTGTGCAGAGATCATCCAATCAGCCATGTAATCACAGCGCAGAAAGCGTCAGGATTGCAGAAAGGGATGTGGAAGCAAGAATCCGCCCCAGGTGACTGTCTGGATGTGCTGGCCTTCCCGGGCCCAGGGAGACGCCCCGGGGAGGCCTGGCCCCCGGTGCACCTGGGATTGTGTAGGGTTTCCCTCCGTCTCAGAGCGGGTGCCCCTGCAGGTCTGACGGGCTCTGCCCTGGGGGTGGGGCGAAGGAGCTCGGGTCTGAGGCTCTCTCTCTCGCAGCCCCTGGTCTGGCTTGCAGCATGCCGTCACCCACGGGATGCGGGCTACGGTCCCTGCGTGTGGACAGCAGCCTCCCTGGACGTTTCGCTGCCGCAGCCCAGACCCAGTAACCTCCCCAGGGCCGAGCACAGCCCCGTGCGGCGGCAGAGGGCAGCTTCCCCGCCGGTTTCCAGCAGGGTCTGCGGGGTCCCCCTTTCTGACCAATTGGGGCCAAACTCGAGGTGCCCGTGAGCCCCGGTGCGTGCCCTGCTCTCCGCGGGACGCCTTGGGGGCCCCTCGCCTGCGGCCCAACAACATACTCACTTCGGTCTTACTTGGGTAACACGTCAGTGAGTAGAGCAATGAGGTCTACAGAAAAAAACAAACACAGAAACAGACTTCTTTTTTACCTTTTCCGAGACGTTAACGGAACCAAACTGACGGGGCTGTTCCTGCGCCTTGTTAAAAAAAAAAATAAAACAGAAACAAACAAACAAAAAAACAAACAAATGATGTTACCTTTGACTAAGTCCACGACCAATTTTTCTCTGGTCCGGGTTAAGCTGGCTACAGCAGGGAGCCCTCCCGTCCACAGAAATGATCAAGAGCTTGTTATTGGGCCCTAACCTGTCAAGTGTGTGTGTGTGTGGGGGGGGTGGTCTGCAAGCCTTTAGCTGTTGAGGTGCAGGTAGTGGGTGTCCCTGGGGTTTCCCGGAAGAAAGTGTAATTAACTCCAGTCAGACTCCGTGAGACTTATCCCCTGCCCAGCAGACAGAAACTAGTTTGGAGGTAGGAAGGGGCACTGGCAGCCTTTATTGGCCTCAGCGGGGCTGGGGACGAGCTTCACGGTGCGTGGAGCAGAGCATCTGCAGTGCAGAAGCGCCATCCCGCTGAGCCAGCTCGGGCTTTGGGTGGGTGCGGACCCCTGGCCGAACGCCGCGTCGCGGAACGTCCAGCGCCCACGGTGAGAACGTTTGCTTCCAACCCGCCACGCCTCCCATCCCCGGACAGCCAACCGGCTCGGCGGACGGACGGCACAGCCCACAGCCCAGGACGAGGCCTGCCGGCAGGGGCCCCGGTTCGCAGAGCTCTCCTTGCAGACTCGGTCTCTGTTCTCCGGGAGCGCAGTGAGGGCAAGGGTGCACGTAACGGCTCAACGCTCTCCCCGTGTCCTACCTTCGGGACCTGGAGAGCGGCCGCTTCTCCACCGAAATGCGCAGCCGCAGCGAGGGGGACCGCTGTTGAGTCGGGAGCTCAGGGCTTCCTGCAGCAAACGCCTTCGCTGGGCCTAACACGTGGGCTACGCGTTCTTCCTCTTTCCCGGGGTTTTCCGGGGACACTTGCTTTTCAGTAACAAAACGTCCCGGCGCCCCGTGGCAGGTGTCGCATTGCCCCCTCGGCTCTCTAGGGCCGGGCCCTTCTGAACCTAGGCCAGCGATGACTTCAAGTCAGAAATGAAACGTCCCCCACTCTCCGGTCTCTGGTGGCTCCCATTTGCTCCCTTCAAAAGTCTCGCTCTTCCCCCGCATTAATGGCAGCAATGCCCAGGGTTTTCAATGTCCATGGCAGTCATTCTGGACCACTTTGACCCAGAGAGGTATAAATGTTGAGAAGTCTCACAGCTTTACTGACAGGCATAGAAATGACCCGGACACAGACAAAAACAACGAAGAAGGGGGCGTCCTTCAAATGTTATCATTTATTTCAGGTTCAGAAATACAGCTTCACATTTTCACAACAGGTACATGTGACCTTCGAGAATGACACATGCTTCCGGACCTGGTTTCAAAAATTCCATTGACAGGGTCCGTCCACACAACGGCTTTAAGAAACCGCAAAGTGCCAAGAAGACAGGGGAAAGTGTTCTGGCTCAACTTAACCAGAGACTCAACAGAGAAGACGAGATTTTGCTTCTGTACACCACTTTTTTCATACAAAGGCGAAAGAAGGAGTGTGAATGAAAAAAGGGGAGTGAAAATAAACACAGACGAGCAAGGGAAACACAGGCTGTACACGTGAACTCACACGCAAATCAAGTAATGGTGGACTTCTGGTTGGGGGGGATACTTCTCATCAAATTGGCAGCAGACAATGCAAGGGACAGACAGAGTCACTTCCATCATAATTTGAAAAACATTACACAGTGAGTGGAGTTGCAGAAATTCAAGGGTGAAAACTAAAGAAGTGAGCGCCTCGAGCTGAGCAACCCAGCCCAGACAGGCGGGAAGTCCCGCCAACACCCCAGTGTGAACAGGTCTTAAGACAAACGAGAGCCTGGCCTTGAACTTCCCATCTCCTGTTCTCACACACTCGCACATTCTGGCACAGATACACCAACAGAAAAGCTTACACTTCATCGCTTCGACATTTTCTTCAAGGTCGTTATACAGAGCACCTCCTCATTTTAAACACGGCAACCAGACAGCATGACTTAAGATGATCTCACACATTTGGGCTTTTAAGGAAGGACCGAGGGACGGAGTGAACCAATAATCGTTTCTCTGAAATCGGCCGGATGCGTTCACATTACTCCAAGCTCACAGCCATCTGTCCTCCTGGGGAAATGACACAGGAGTCACGGCTCCAGTCCCACATGCTATCTTCTTCCACGGAGTTCCATACACAGAGAGCTACTATGCAGAGTCCATCCTCAAGGTCAAGGAGATTCCTGTCCATCCCAAGTGATTGTACTGTTTTCCAAGTAAAAAATGTTTGCCTGACAAAGAGGACCGATGACCCCCCTCCGAGGTGTTAACGAAACTCCTCCCCTGCGTTTTTAGCCCATTTACTCAGAAGGATCCACTTCATTATTACATCACTGTAGCCCTCTACTTTATACTTTTTGAAGAATTACTGTAGAGAAAAGATGACTGTGTAGACCAACTTAGCTTTTTAAGACTCAGCTCAACAATCCAAGGATAATTAGAGATCCTCAGAGCAGGTTTCTGGATCTCACACTTCTGATCAAACTACATCGGCAAGGTTATCTTTCCATCTTAGATAGCGGTGCTGTGGGTTTAGATATAAATGCCTGTGCAAGTTACGCCATCACGCTGTCATGGTAACTCCTATCTCTGTGCGTCTCAGAATGAATACAATCTGGAGAGACTTTTGGATACCTCAGGTACTCTGAGAATTGAACCACTATTACCATGCATTATAGCAGATTCTCCAAAGCTACCTCTTGGACTGGCACAGTTTAAAAAAGATACTTGCACCCACACATACAGAGCACACGTATACATAAATATTTACATCCCTCCACATACGCGTATGCACGGCGCACACACAATCACACTCATGCTTGTGGCATTTTGACAAGCACTTTTAGACCTACCCGCCCAAGGGCACAGAATGTACGAACTTACAGAAACACACGCACTACGTGTGCACTGTTCTACATGGAGACACATGCATAGAAAACGTGTTTGTACACGGAAAACATCAACATGTACCACATACTGGTATTAGGTCCCACTTCATACTGGAGAATTATGGTTAACACGATACTAAAAAGTCATAAAATTAATCTACATGACTACTTTTTAACCCTAAATTCAGGAGGCTCATAGTTATATCACAGGAACTGGTTCTATTATGGCCAGTTTTGGGATAGGTGGGTTTGTACCGGAATGCCTAGGCCATTCACTAATGAACAACCTCACTGCTCTGCTATGTTACAAGACACAGCTAGAAGCAATGTTCAGGGGAGTCATTTGGGTGGATGACTTCTGGAAATGCAATAGGGCTGTTCTAAGTTAACACTATTTCAGTAATCTGTCCACAGTTGAGTACATGGTTATTCCAACGAATCAATAAGCATGCAAGATTTAGCATGTGGCGTTAACATAGATTTACCTATCAAATAGACAGCTTGTTTTTCCAAATCCTGAAATGCTGTATGTTTTATTTTGCTCCACGAGACACGACAGAGCTCCGTGTATTTTGCAGACCGCACCGGGGATGGGAGGAAGCTACAGGAGACGTGAAGCGGAGCGGGAAACACTCAGAAAGCTCACTAAGCTCCACTCCCGCCTGAAGGCCTGATGGGAATGCTGTCCTTCCATCCCGAACTCCGTTCCCCCCATCGACACTGACGCCTCCCCTTAGCGGGGCGCAGGCCCGCTGGGGAGCGGGGTCAGGGCTCAGCACAGCACATCGCACTGCGGCCAACTGAACACGCTCTCCGACACGCCGGCTGAAATTCCGGGGTGCGGGGGCTGGGTCCCGTCAGAGACAACGCAGGAGTGAACTAGGACAAAAAGGCGCCCGCAGGAGAGGCAGCAGGGACAGTGAGACCGTGGGGCTGTAATCGGAGAGCAGGGGCCACAGGAGACAAATGCCACTGTTCCGACTGCAGAAGATCCGGGGAAAGGGCCTTGGGAAAAGAATCTCCACTCTTCTTTGACATGGTTTGTGCCGAACTAAGAGCTCACCCGTGGTTGTGCACAACATTTGCCGTGAACAGAAGGACATTTCTGAAACGCAGCAAGGCGCGAACCACATGCCGCCCACAGCCAAACCCGGGAGCACACGCTCCACGAGCTGCCTCCTTCTGGAGATTCGAAGGAAGAAGCAAAGGGAGTCCTTCAGAGAGGGGATTTTATGAAAAGATCTCACTATAGACTATTTACTTCACTCTGGATGTTTACTTAACATATTTCCATTTAGCCGGGGCACTATCTTTAAAATATAGTATGTTTCTTGCCCCTTGGCGAAGTTAACTTTTTCTCAACAGAAAGAAAAATGAGATATGGGATTTAGGATGGCAATCTTCATACAATCCCCTGTAGCTTAAAAGTTGAAGTGCCCTTTTTAAGGAATCTTGAACTCTCTGGTTTTTGCCTAAGTGGGCTAGCTATAACCCTTTAGAGTAAGTTCAGAACAACACTGTTTGGCCCGGCGAGCTCTCTTTTTAATAATGGCTGAAAGTTTTTACTTCATAGTTTATGGGTGTCTGCTCTGGGTATAAACTACACAGGAAATTAAAGTGAAGTTAACATACAAATCATGTTTGCTGCTTTCAAAGGGAGACGTTTCTGTCGGTGAAACCTGATTTACGTCTGCGGAGTATGAAACTGTGTCGCGGGGACCGGCTGGGAGCAGTTAGCAGACCAAACGCCAGTCGGCTTCTGGCGGTCTCCTGTGCGCTGGTCATCTGGTCCTGGGTCGTCCAAAAACTCGGCCTCCGGGCTGAACTATTAACCCCCGGGCTAAAGGGCTCTTGTAAATTTCAGAAATGTTAGAATTTGCCAATTCGCTTTAGATCTCTGCGTCTGAATACCGTTCTCTGGAATGACCCGGATAAAGACCTTGCAGTTGCATAACTATAAAAGTTGTGGACTCTGCTCTTAGACAAAATGACTTTTCTTTTCATTCCGGGTCCCTATGCTTTAAATAGGGTTACCCCATAGGAAGGCTCACAATTTATTAAGAAAGCCTGGAACGGACAGAAAGTTACTTCAAGCCTGTCTTAAAGGTAGGCTACATTTTTACATAAGAGAATGATGTGTTAGGAAAGGAGAGGAATATTTCTGCCCCCACCAACCAAATAAACAAATAAACTGGAGTTGGTATCAAAGCGTAGTCAGCCATGCCTGAAATTAGGATGACTCTGAAAAAATAAATATTTTCCCTGTCAGCCTTCACTGTAACCTGTGCGGAGGTGATTATATAAATGAGTGAGGAAATTACATTTTCCAGATACTTCTAGAGACGTGATGTTTTGCTTCTTCCCGAATTCTCAAATTAACTAGTCAAATCTGCTGGAGGGCTACAGAAGGAACCAACCTGACGTGTTGTTGAATGAGCTTCTAGCACGAAACAAAACACACTGGCCTAGGAGAAGCCTCTAGAACAAGCAATGCATTCCCTTTTCCTTTGCAAACTACCTTGCGCTTCTGGGAAAAGCTTTCTTCTTAAGAAACTCTGATTTAAAAAAAAAAACAATTACTTCCTAGCAGTCTTATGAAATAAAGAGGAAGGGAAGGCTATACACAGGTCACTACGGAGTAGACAGAAACGTTGATAATAAACGATACCTTTTCTGTCAACCGAAACTGAATGTGGGAAAATAAACACGTATGGCTTAGGTCTAAGCCCACCGTCCGAGATCTCTTAAGAATTCTATTCCATGGGCTCTCTGTAAGGTAAGCTGGGAAACTTGTTCAGCGCGGGTTCGAATGTAATCCCAGGGCAGGCAGGCGGTCCCCCCAGAGCGTGGGGCTGCCCCACGGACCTACCTGGGTGGGCACAACACAGAAAGCCTCGCGGACTCAGCAGTTCTCCAGAGTCGGCCCCCAGAGGGCTGAGGTACCATGAGCAATGCAGGTGAGTGACAGGTGCGTTAGTACAACGGGCTACTTGCCTACGGATGGCCACACAAGCGACTACTCATGATGGACCGCAGCGGCTATCACGTGCGTGGCTTTCGCACGGTTCGTTAGTAAGGAGCTGCCAGGCCAGACCCATCCTCTAGTCTAACAGAGAGGACTCTAGCGGGCGGATTATAGTGGGTCGAGTTGGTGACGGGGGCGGTCTCCGGCTAGAAAGACAGAAAGAGAGAGGTCAAGAGGCAGGTGGAATATCGCGCAGGAGGCTGTCCCCAAGACACCGAGAAGGAGCCATCACCCGCATGCGGCATGCAGACAGGCCAGCAGGGCAGGTTGCCACCTGCAGCAATTCCAGCTAACACTGTTCTCTTTCACTCACCCGGCATTTCTAAAGACAAACATGAGTGCTTTTTTTCACATGCAAATCTTTCCGAATACGGAAGGCATGCCTCCCAAGACTAATACAGGTATGAAACTATTGAAAAGCCATCTGAAATACACTCCACACTTCTCAGCCAATACTGTATGATCCCTGCGGTTATCTGTACTAGGGAACTATTAACAAGGCATACTCCAGGAGCCAATAAGGGGCCTCCGAGAAGGGTGGGTTTTGAATTTTTATTTCTTTTTATGTAGTAATAATTTTTAATCTTCCTCTTTTTCTCCTGTCGGGATGTCAGTGATCACTTCTCACTGACATTGGCAATAGCTTTCTCCAGTTCGTCCTGTAGCTACGTGTAGTTTGCAGAGTACCGGAAAATCAGGGGTTTGGGAGTTCTCTGCAATATGTGTAAATCGGCTCAGGGTGAGTACCTGAGTACCTGAGCGCTGAGTACCCAAGTACCCGAGTACCTGAAGATCTGTCGAATGACCTCTTGTTTCCATTTGGGGTCCCAGAAGTTTTATTGTTAGGAGTGATTTTGCTCATTTTCTGGATGGTAATGGTGTTTCTGATAGCTGAGGTTGCCAAATAGACAAACTCGGGGTAATGTAATATTCTTGTGCCTGGAGAGCTCAACCTTAGCAAGTAACACTCTTCACTTCCTGAACCCCCACATTTATTTCCTAAATGCATTGATACGTTTTTGTGTGTATCTTGACTTCATATCTTTGGGGTGACAGTATCTTAGGGAGTGACTTTTATCACCAACAAAATCCAACAAATTCTACAAATGAAAACCTTTCTTCTTGATTAAACTCTCCCATTGAACTTTTTCAGGAAAACCCCTTCCGGGATGACTTGGAATTTTCTCCTGGATGGGAACACTCAACTGATCCAGTCAAATGTGCTTTCTCATGTACGAAGACGAGAAATTAGAAAAGTTAAAGCAAACAATCATGACATGTTAAAAAATCACAAAGTTATAAAATAAAACTAGAGCTCAAGGGAGAAACTGAAGCAACAGAGATATTGTTGTTAACGGTAGAAACGCCAGCCCCTTAGGCACAAACCCACTAGATTCCTGGAAAGCAGAGACCACATAGTCTACGTTTGTCACAGGTCCTCGGCATGGAGCGTGACGTGATTAGAAGGCAGTGAATAGATAGTTATGAAACAATGGACAGACGAACGTAGGAGAAGGGCCTGACTAGCGAGGGTTAGCCGGGTTAGAGTAGAGGCCAGGTCAAGGTGAGTAGGTTCGATGGAATGTGACACTTGGAGGCATCGGTCGGAGGCTTATATTGGAGGCGTCGTGTTTATGCAGAAAGCATCCTGACTCAGAAGTCGAAAGATGTGGACCCCAGTTCCAACGGCCAGCTTGTAAAATTGTTAACCCACTACACCCGTCCGAGCCTCAGTTTCCTCATACACGGCCCAGGAGGCTCAGACTAGGGAACCTGTAACGTGCCTCCTAGTTAGGCATCGCCTTCACTACTTACTGTGAACCTACTATGTGCACTGCATTACGCTGCGTGGCTTTTAAGGACTCCAACTCTGTTCCTAGTGGAAGACAAGTGGGATACAACCGCCAGGCAAGGAGTTTTACTAGAGTCCCTCATTTTAAGTGGAAAAAATAGGGCAAATTTTCATAATCCAAACTCTGAGACTAGGTTCTGGGGCCCTGAGGATACAATAAGGTGGTCGAAGCAGGGGAAGGAACATGGGATTTTAACAGCAGCCGATAAAACTTGAAAGTCGTTAAGAGAATGCAGATCCATCATGAGGTTAAAGAAACCAGAAATTAAGCGATGAGGACTAAAGGAAAAGGATTCAATGCTGGCCGTACAGACAGGAAAGAATTCAATACTTTGATGGCCCCGTGACTTCTCCTCCCCGATCCTCGGTCGCAGCCGAGGGGACCAGAGAAAAACGGCAGCAATGGGCCATCGAGGGAGGAACTGTGGGCAGGGGACCAGGGGACCAGGGGACACGGCGTGCGTCTGTTTGTCTGGGACACCGCCCTGTCCCAGGACTTAGCATGGTCTTTGGCTCATAGTCATTTTCCCCCCAAATAAATAAATCAGAGAACCTGTCCATCATGAGCTTTACAAGGGAGTCCCTAGTGCCTTCCATCCAATATGCACAGCAGACCGGGGTGGTCATTTAATGATTGAAAGAATGAAAAATAAAACTGCCATCACGTCCTCCCAAAATACTTAAGACATCTTGAAAGCACGCCCACTTGCCGATGAAAGGAACCCACCTATGTACTTGGTAATTAAAAAAATCCCACAGAGCCCCTGACCCTGCTGGAAGCAATGAGCACCCTTTCGCTTCTGAAACAGTTAGCCCCCCCGCGGTCTGCATGCACACCCCCACCCGACAGCAGTTCCGGAGGCGCATGGGGTTGCTCGGCGTGAGAACTCGCAAGCAACGCTCAGACGTGGGCCAGCTTCGCCGCCAGGAAAAACGTTCGAGGTTTACTGTTAAGGTTCATTTCATTGGTCCAGTTCCGACCCATTCAAAGGGTTTCCAAAGACATTCACCTCGTGAGACAGTTTGTTTTGGGCAGAGTGAAGTAGTTTGTTTTGTACCAAGTTTTCCTCTGCTGCTTTGTTTAGCAACGGGCTTCATGAAGTAACCCCTCCTCCTGAAACGCGGCAGCTTGCCTCACTTAGTGTTTATTGAAACAGCGTTGTGTGTGGGCGGCGTGTGGTTACCATTTCTGCTTCCAAAGCAAAGGGAAAGATGGAATGCCTGAAGTCGCGCTAGTAGCTTCGGGGATGGACCGTTCACAGTGTTTTGGACGAGGATGTCTTTTGCAAGGGAGTCAAACGCACACACGGGTGGGCAGCACGGAGGGGAAGAAAACCAGCTTCACTGATAAGAGACAAAAGTAGGAGGGCTGTCAGTGCCTCTTGAGATGCTCTCCTGAGAATGGAAGGACTGAAATGTCATCTGCTCGCATTGCGTGAGCTGGTTCTGAGGATTCCCGATGTGAGGCCGGCCTTGGCATGAGTTGGCGGAGGGTTCGGCGGGGCAAGTCACTGGGGCACTTGGGCACACGGGGTGAGGCGGGAGCCGCCTTCGCTGAAATGGCTGGGTCCTTCTGCCCTGTCCCCACCCCTCCCCAGACGGGGTGTGGGGGCTATTTCAGTGGGAAGTGTGTGAGCCAGACTGGGCCTGCAGAGCTCAGGGTCCGCCCCTTCCTATGCTGAAGCCCACCCACCTATCCGCACTGCAGTCCAGGGCTCTGTCTACTGAGCAAGCAGTTACCCTGGCCCGTTCCGATCAGCGGTGCTCCAACGGGCCCTTGCTTCCGAGCTCCCTCGGACAGGGGATGTGCGAGAACCCGGGGCTCTGGGTGCCACACGGAGTTCTAACGGGGTGAGACACCCGCAGCGTGTTTCCGGAGGACGCTGGTGCGGCTGGTCCTGGGACTAGGCTCGGAAAACTGCTCTTCCAAGGCACAGCACCTAATTTTGACCTGACTTCATTTTGGCGATTCAATTCACTGGTCAGGTACCTAGGAGCAATGGGAGGAAGTGCTGGGGAGGAAAAACAAACTTAAGAAGGATGGAAGAATACTTGGGTATCTTTGGGAATGAGACTGGGGCAGAGGTCAGATCTGGTGTAGGTGTGTTCTGTAACGATGAGGCCCCACAGCATGGAAGTGTGGGCTGCTTGCTTCGGGAGCTCGGGGTTGCTTGGGAAAGGGGCAGTGGGTGTGGAAAGTAAGCGTCTCTGACTGTGCTCCCCAAACTCTCATCTTTGGACAGGGCGGGTTCAAGTCCAACCGAACTAGCGAGGTGGACCCGGATTACAAAAAGAAGAAGAAAACCCTAAAAAAAAAAGATACACCAAGATTGACACTTTGAAAAAGAAATGAGGGCTGCCTAAGAGGGTGGTTATTTGCCTAAAAAGAGTATGCAGTAGGCTTCTTTTATACCACGAGTTCTACCTGTTAAATATAAAGCTTGGAAATGTCACGGCCTCAAAAACTCAGTTTCATGGCCTTCCATTTCGGATCCTGGGAGGGTTAATGTGTACATCTCCGGTTTCTAGGAGACCCAAGAATATTGTATCATCTTGGCCAACATTTTTATCTTATTGATGAAACGGGCCAAAAGAAAAAAAAAAGAGGAAGGGTTTGTCTGCTAAACCACACGCAGTAAGACACCTCCTTTCTTTTGGCTACACCTGGTGAATTTGTTTAAAAAGAAATGCAAAAGGGACCAAAAACTACGTCTGAGTTTTTTCCAATCGTGAGGAGCGCCTCTCCCTGGGGACTGCGCGGAACTCGAGGCCGGAGCGGCGCCCCGCAGTGACGGCTCCGGCGGTACCGGGGAGCTGCGCTAGGGGGCGCCCGCGGTACCTCCCCACCAGGGACTGAACTCCGTGCTTCTCCACACCCCTCTGACTGTATCCTTGCGTCACTTCTCAGAGTTCAAGGCACGTATGCCTGGTTTATCATCCAAACAACACCGTCAACCTCCTACGAACGGAGACGGCACCCTGTGCGGCTTACCGCCTTCCGCAGCCCCCGCAGAGCGCGGGGTCGCCACCAGCAGAGAGAAGGTGAGGGGCGGAACACACCCCAGGAGGAGGCAGACCGGAGGGCCCGCCCCTGGAAGGATGGAAGGGCAACTAGTTATGACCCGGGACTTCCTCCAGTGGGTGTCTGCTCTAAGACAGCTTATGGGGCATAGTGTTTTTTTAATCCTCACCTAAGGATACATTTACTGATGTGTGTGTGTGTATGTGTGTGTGTGTGTGTGTGTGAGAGAGAGAGAGAGAGAGAGAGAGAGAGAGAGGCTGATTGATTGGCTG